CTTGTCCAATAAATCTTTTGACTGTCAATGCCATCTGTTGAGCGCACCCGAATCCATTTTCTGTTCCCCAGTGGAAGGCTGTGATCTTACTGACACCTGTGCAGTTTCCTTCTTCTTATGGGGGACTGTGTCAAAGGCTTTCCGACAGTCAAAAAAAAAAGCAGTCCGCCCAGCCTTCTCTTTCTTACTCAATCTTCGTCACCTGGTCGTAGAATTCTATTAAGCCTGTAAGGCAAGATTTACCCTCCCTGAACCCATGTTGGCGATTTGTCACAAAGTCCCTTTTCTCCAGATGTGTTACTAGATTTTTCTCACAATCTTCTCCATCACCTTGCATTGTATACAAGTTAAGAACACTGGCCTTGACACACACAGTGTGTGTAATTACCTAAGTGTAATTACCTAAGTGTAGTTACAGGATGAGAGCTACGCTCGTGGTGTCCCGTCTTCCCAGCACTCTTTGTCATATAACGCTTTGAAACTACTGACGGTCTTGGCCTCCACCACCTTCTCACTTAACTTGTTCCAACCGTCTACCACTCTATTTGCGAAGGTGAATTTTCTTATATTTCTTCGGCATCTGTGTTTAGCTAGTTTAAATCTATGACCTCTTGTTCTTGAAGTGCCAGGTCTCAGGAAATCTTCCCTGTCGATTTTATCAATTCCTGTTACTATTTTGTATGTAGTGATCATATCACCTCTTTTTCTTCTGTCTTCTAGTTTTGGCATGTTTAATGCTTCCAACCTCTCCTCGTAGCTCTTGCCCTTCAGTTCTGGGAGCCACTTCGTAGCATGTCTTTGCACCTTTTCCAGTTTGTTGATGTGCTTCTTAAGATATGGGCACCACACAACAACTGCATATTCTAGCTTTGGCCTAACAAAAGTCATGAACAATTTCTTTAGTATATCGCCATCCATGTATTTAAATGCAATTCTGAAGTTAGAAAGCATCGCATAGGCTCCTTGCACAATATTCTTTATGTGGTCCTCAGGTGATAGTTTTCTATCTAGAACCACCCCTAGATATCTTTCTTTATCAGAATTCTTTAAAGATTTCTCACATAATATATAGGTTGTATGGGGTCTATGTTCTCCTATTCCACATTCCATAACATGACATTTATTAACATTAAATTCCATTTGCCAGGTGGTGCTCCATATACTTATTTTGTCCAGGTCTTCTTGAAGGGCATGACAATCATCTAAATTTCTTATCCTTCCTATTATCTTAGCATCATCAGCAAACATGTTCATAAAATTCTGTATACCAACTGGTAGATCATTTATGTACACAATAAACATCACTGGTGCAAGAACTGAACCCTGTGGTACTCCACTTGTGACATTTCTCCATTCCGATACATTGCCTCTGATTACTGCCCTCATTTTTCTATCAGTCAGAAAATTTTTCATCCATGATAGAAGCTTACCTGTCACCCCTCCAATATTTTCCAGTTTCCAGAACAACCTCTTATGTGGAACTCTGTCGAAAGCCTTTTTTAGGTCCAGATAGATGCAGTCAACCCAACCATCTCTTTCCTGTAATATCTCTGTGGCTCGATCATAGAAACTGAGTAAATTCGATACACAGGATCTTCCAGATCGAAAACCATACTGTCTGTCTGATATTATATCATTTCTCTCTAGGTGTTCTACCCATTTAGTTTTGATTAGTTTTTCCAATACTTTCACTATTACACTTGTCAATGATACAGGTCTATAATTGAGGGGGTCTTCCCTGCTGCCACTTTTGTAGATTGGAACTATGTTAGCCTGTTTCCACCCGTCTGCTACGATTCCTGTACACAGGGATGCCTGAAAGATCAGGTGAAGTGGAATGCTGAGCTCAGATGCACATTCTCTCAGAACCCATGGTGAAACGCCATCTGGGCCAGCTGCTTTGTTCTTACCGAGCTCCTTGAGCATTTTTTCCACTTCGTCTCTAGACACCTCTATGTGTTCTATGTTGTTCTCTGGAATTCTTATTGTATCTGGTTCCCTAAAGATTTCATTTTGTACAAACACACTTTGGAACTTTTCGTTTAGTGTTTCACACATTTCCTTTTCATTTTCCGTGAATCTGTTTCCCATTTTCAACCTCTGGATATTATCCTTTACCTGCAATTTGTTGTTTATGAATTTGTAGAATAGGCCCGGTTCTGTTTTACATTTATCTGCTATCCCTTTTTCAAAATTTCTTTCTGCCTCTCTCCTTACTGCTGTATAGTTGTTTCTCGCATCTTTGTATCGCTGGTATGTTTGGGGGTTTGGCCTCTTCCTATACTGATTCCATTTTTGTGTCTTTTGGTCTCTTGCCCTCTCACAATTTCTGTTGAACCAATCCTGTTTTCTGGCCCTGCATCTCTGTTTTGGTATGAATGTTTGTGTGCCTTCCTCGTATAGTTTTAAAAATTTGGCATACATTTCATTTACTTCCCTGACTAGCAACAATTCTGTCCAATTACACTCATTAAAAAAAATTTCGAAGTTCCCCATAGTTGCCTCTCCTTAAATCGAGTTTATCAACTGTTTCAATGTCCCCATTTTCTTCTAGATGATATCTTAAAGCATATTTAATGTCTAACAGGACGTGATCACTCTTTCCCAAGGGAGGAAGGTACTGGATGTCAAAAATCTCTTCTTCTTTCCTGGTGAATACTAGATCCAGTACTGACGGTATATCTCCTTCCCTCATTCTTGTGGCTTACTTTATGTGTTGATACAAGAATGTCTCCAGAATGAGGTTCACAAATCTGCATGTCCAAAAGTCCTCCGTTCTTGCTTCATAGGTCTCCCAGTCTATTGCTCTAAAGTTGAAGTCCCCCAGTATCAACAGTCGTGATTTATCTTTATCTGCTTGTACAATAATATCTCTCATGACCATTATGAGGCCCTCTCGTTTGTCATCCAGTTCTTCCTTTGTCCACGTGTTGCTTGCTGGTGGGCTGTAGGCATTTACAATTATCAGGTTATCATCCTGATTCCAGACCTGCAATGCCATTATGTCAATATCTCGAGGGTATTATCTGTGTGTGTGTGTGTGTGTGTGTGTGTGTGTGTGTGTGTGTGTGTGTGTGTGTGTGTGTGTGTGTGTGTGTGTGTGAGTGAGTGAGTGAGTGAGTGAGTGAGTGAGTGAGTGAGTGAGTGAGTGAGTGAGTGAGTGAGTGAGTGAGTGAGTGAGTGAGTGAGTGAGTGAGTGAGTGAGTGAGTGAGTGAGTGAGTGAGTGAGTGAGTGAGTGAGTGAGTGAGTGAGTGAGTGAGGGAGGGAGGGAGGGAGGGAGGGAGGGAGGGAGGGAGGGAGGGAGGGAGGGAGGGGGAGAGGGAGTGAGGGAGTGAGGGAGTGAGGGAGTGAGGGAGTGAGGGAGTGAGGGAGTGAGGGAGTGAGGGAGTGAGGGAGGGAGGGAGGGAGGGAGGGAGGGAGGGAGGGAGGGAAGGAGCATGCGCGCGTGCGTGCGTGTGTATGTGTATGTTTTAGAGAAAAATATATGTAGATATAATAGCGGAAAATAGTTTGTTTAGAAAGGTGGGGTCCAAGAGCTAAAAGCCCGATTCTGCGGGCACAAATAGTAAATAAATAAATACACAAGAGAGCAGCTCGACAAGCACAGTGGTCTAACACCAAAACGTGGCAGACATCAGATGGTAAAAGGATTCCTCAACTCAACAGGCAGAATGATGGAGGTAGTAGGAATAGACATCAGCATTGAAAAAATAGCAAATCACATCCTGAAAAGATGCTCGCTCCAAAATCAGGCACTGAATTTATTGGGAAAGGCTTGATTACTCAAATGACAGCAAGGACAAGGTAAACAGATCTTCCAAAAGCAATGGTTACTAGTTGTGCCCATTTGGGGACCTCCAAATGGCCCACTTTGAGGGGCCTCGTAGCCTGGTGGATAGCGCGCAGGACTCGTAATTCTGTGGCGCGGGTTCGATTCCCGCACGAGGCAGAAACAAATGGGCAAAGTTTCTTTCACCCTGAATGCCCCTGTTACCTAGCAGTAAATAGGTACCTGGGTGTTAGTCAGCTGTCACGGGCTGCTTCCTGGGGGTGGAGGCCTGGTCGAGGACCGGGCCGCGGGGACACTAAAGCCCCGAAATCATCTCAAGATAACCTCAAGATAAGATAGTTGCCCAGACCATTACGCCAACAGGCAGGCATACCAGGCTCTAGGGAAGATTCGTTGGTAAATTGCATCCCTAATCCAATCCTAATTTAGCTGATGAGGATTAAGTTTGAACCACTTAAGCAACCCAAGTGCATCCCCTCAGAAGAAACATGAGGTACCAAAATGTCAAAGAATCATGGCAAGGCACTATGGATACACAAGCACTCGGTTAACTATGTCAACTCAACTCAACTCAACATAGGTTTTGCTATGGAGAGTAATTACCATGCTCTATCTGGAGGAGAAACGTGTACTTAGAACATATATCTCTGGTGGAGCAAGGGAAACATGCTGGCTACCAGGAAAGATTACTCAGGTACACAGCCTGAGTAAAGTAACACACAAGGAACATATGATGTTGGAACTAAAATGAAACAAATGGAACAAAAGCAAAGCAATGACTTCATTGTACAGCTACTCCAGAGAGAGCCTACACCACTTAGCTGAAAGCAGCAGCAGCTTTTGGGTGCAGGCAGAGGGCGGCAACTATGTCCACACCAGGCGAGTGCAGTGTGCTTTTGGACAGTATCCCCAGTGACTTGGGCGGCCTTATGGTGGCCTTGTTTTCCTCAGGATTAATTTTTTCTTTCAGCAACAGCTTGTTTTGTTTTGCTTAATTTTTCTAGTGTTTTTCTTTGGTTTTAGATAGAACTCTGATTCCCAAGCTCCCTTAGCCCAGTAAAAGAGCCACATTATAGTTCTGGCTCCCGACAGCCTATCGTGGGTCTCGAGAGGTGCCGTGCAATTCATAAGGCTTGACTACATTAGTGCATAAACTGTGAAGCTACTGAGGGCAACCTCCCAGAAAAAAAACACAATAACTGTACATACTTGTGTCCAAACTGTGCATGAAGAGCAGCAAGATTTAATGCAGCATATCTAAACCCTCTGCCTTGGTCTTCCATCCTGGTAGAATCTCGTGGTATTAGGTGACCGTCATAGGTACGCAAGAGGCTATGCACAGCTCCAGAAAATTCCTTTACACGGATACAGTTTAAATAACTGAGGTAATGCTGAAAAAAAAGAGAGAGAGTTTAACTGAAATCTGTTTTTATGGAGGAAAAAATGAAGTAGAGTGTAATGAAATGCCCCTTTCTAGGTAACACCTCAGTATATCCCTTCAACTTGAATCACCACTTTCCCAGCTCAATTATCATGTTTAAAATTGTCTCCCTTCCAGTACCAATTCAGACCATTATCATCTACCACTTGAAACCTTGAGAAATAACCCACTTTACTGCAGTAGCTAAAGCTGCCACCTCTGTCCTAGAGAAATGCACTCCATCCCATGCATACATGTCACATCTGTCATAGAAGAAATCCCAGCTGTCAATAAATGATGATGCATTGGCCTTGTAATATAAAGTCAGCCAGTAGTTAATACTAATTGTGCTAGATAGCCATTCATTGCAGTTTTTGTCAGAATGCCGGTCGGCCGAGCGGACAGCACGCTGGACTTGTGATCCTGTGGTCCCGGGTTCAATCCCGGGCGCCGGCGAGAAACAATGGGCAAAAGTTTCTTTCACCCTATGCCCCTGTTACCTAGCAGTAAAATAGGTACCTGGGTGTTAGTCAGCTGTCACGAGCTGCTTTCTGGGGGTGGAGGCCTGGTCGAGGACCGGGCCGCGGGGACACTAAAGCCCCGAAATCATCTCAAGATAACCTCAAGAATTGCCACATATTACTGGGATCCCTCTCTTGGACCTATTTTTACCCATGGCCACACTATACTGTATTTAGCAAGTATTCCTCACACCTTATATTTTCCAACATCAATATCTCCTGTATTGAGCCAGTTAATAGTTTTGTTGTCATTGCCTCTCAAGATGTCCATCCTAACACCATCATCATCCATACCAGCCTCAAGATCTCCATCCTAACACCACCATCATCCATACCAGCCTCAAGATCTCCATCCTAACACCAACATCATCCATAGTGGCCTCAAGATCTCCATCCTAACACCAACATCATCCATACTGGCCTCAAGATCTCCATCCTAACACCAACATCACCCATACCAGCCTCAAGATCTCCATCCTAACACCAACATCATCCATACTGGCCTCAAGATCTCCATCCTAACACCAACATCATCCATACTGGCCTCAAGATCTCCATCCTAACACCAACATCACCCATACCAGCCTCAAGATCTCCATCCTAACACCACCATCATCCATACCAGCCTCAAGATCTCCATCCTAACACCAACATCATCCATACCGGCCTCAAGATCTCCATCCTAACACCAACATCATCCATACTGGCCTCAAGATCTCCATCCTAACACCAACATCATCCATACTGGCCTCAAGATCTCCATCCTAACACCAACATCACCCATACCAGCCTCAAGATCTCCATCCTAACACCAACATCATCCATACCAGCCTCAAGATCTCCATCCTAACACCAACATCATCCATACTGGCCTCAAGATCTCCATCCTAACACCAACATCATCCATACTGGCCTCAAGATCTCCATCCTAACACCAACATCACCCATACCAGCGTCAAGATCTCCATCCTAACACCAACATCATCCATACCAGCCTCAAGATCTCCATCCTAACACCAACATCATCCATACTGGCCTCAAGATCTCCATCCTAACACCAACATCACCCATACCAGCCTCAAGATCTCCATCTTAACACCAACATCATCCATACTGGCCTCAAGATCTCCATCCTAACACCAACATCACCCATACCAGCCTCAAGATCTCCATCCTAACACCAACATCATCCATGCCAGCCTCAAGGAAAATCATCACTATTCTATTTTTCCTGTCTTTCTTGCAAAATACCTAGTCCATGTACCTATTGTTAGTCACTAACAATAAACTATTCTTACAGTACCTGTAATGTCAATTTTGATATAACACACTTGCTCTTATTCATCTTACCCTGGTTCTTAATGACAATCCTTGCAATATTCATCTTCGAGGGTTATCACAATAAAATACTACGCATCTCATCACATTTCCTTGATTCAATCCTAAGTTTTTTCTGGCTGATGATGGTTCACTGCTTGTTTGCTTTCTTTTTCCTCTGCAGATGATTTTTTGACGTTTTTGAAGTTTGACACTTGCTTCTTCACCAAATATAGTTCTGCCTTTAACTCATGGCAGTTTCTACAGGTTTCCTGAACGAGACAGTCACAATAAATCAAACACCAGTAAAACCAAGTAACAGATTTAGATTCCTGACGATTTGGGACCATCAGAGACAAAACTGAAATGCAACTAAATTGCCAAACTAGGAGAGGGGGAAGTGCCATCCTTATCACAACAAATTCCTATAATGTCAAATTTATATGATGCAGCTGCAGAGACCATAGCCCAGGACCCACAGGGTGGCAGCTGGAAACAAAGCACAAGATGTGCTGGATGCATCCATGAAAAGCGTGCATGATGGAGAAGGAATACATCACAGAAGCACCCTGAAAATCCAGAAGATACAGTGACAATAACAAACAGTGACTGGCCCATCTTTGTTTGTATGTAGATATTGTAAATAAATTAATCCTATTGCAAACAATATCATTCTCTAAACCTTTAAGCTCACTCAGAAGAACAAGACCCAAGATAGCAGAAAGGAGTTGATCATTGTGTTTAGTGATAAGACTTCTCCTCAGAGTTAGGTTAATCACAAAGAAGCACAAGTCTTCATGCTCTGAATTGGCTATTCTCAAGCATTATTTTTTGATGGCATTGGTAAATGATCTGACTGAGGTACATATTAACCAAGGCCATGATAGTTTCCTGTGGTTGAAGCTTTGTGTTTACTTACATGATATTACTTTCATTTCACCAAGTCTAATGTCTGACTCGGGAAGTGTGAGCCTTGTTCAGTGGAGATAAAAGGACAGATTCAAGCTGACCTTTCTAACATAAGAGTTAGCTTTGAGTAAAAAGCAGTTTACGCAAGCCAAATTATGCATAACTAATACTCTGAACCACAGTTGTGACAGAAGATTTGAGGCCCAAATCAGCCAGACTTTGATGAAGGCCAGATCAGAATTATGGGAGTTGAAGCTCACAAAGGACCTATGTTTAAGTCTGGTGAAGACTTAAACTAATGAAATGAAAAACCAATGAAGTCAATTAAATCGATGTAGATGATACATCAATCATTTACAGTAGCATCACCTACCTCCTCATTCACTAGCAATTTATCTTCTACCCATCATTAAGCAGAGCAACTCTAGCATTGACTGTAAATTAAATAAGTGTCTGTTCACACATTTTTTTCAAAACAATTATACCCAATTCCCACTGGCTTCTTTGAAGTTATGAGAAATAAAGTTCCGAGTACAGCAATGAACAAAAAACTTGTGAAATTTTTTAGGAATGCATCAATATTTGAAGTTGAGGACCACCTGTACAGTGTTGTACTTATCCAGCATGACAACATGCCCACATACCAGGAAACTATGCATCCTATGCCTGATTTCACAGAGACTGCATTAGAAGGGATTTTTTTTATATAATTGTTGATGTTCCTTTACTGAGAGTAGTATGCTAGTTTCTCAGTTGGAAATATGTTAAGCTTTCAATAAAGTCATAGTGCTACTTAGTACAAGCCAAAACATGTGACTAACTCACAGCTTCAGCAAGGTCTGGATTTTGTTTCACCAGCTGTCTGATCTTTTCTTGCAAATCTGGTGGAGATAGAGCTGCAGTCTCGGTGAACTGTAGCAATGACGTTTGTTGACTGATGAATAATTCTGCCTGCTGTCTGGTACTGTGTCCTACTTGAGAGCACGAAGAGTCCATATTCCTGGAAAAAAATTTTCTTCATTAAAAAATAAAATACTGTAACCACGCTATTATCTGGGATTCGAACATCCGGAAAACGCCCTTATACGGGCAAAATTGTGACCGGATAAAGTTATCTCAATATCAGGCCAAAATGGCCATGGGAGCCGGATAAAAGATGGTTTAGCCGGATAAAAAAATCGGAGCCGGTTAACTTGCTGCCGATGTTACACTATCCAGACAGTCAGCCGGATAATCATTGAATTGTCTGGATATGAAAGCCATGGGTCGGGCCGTACCATATTAATCCCGTCTGGCTGTGGTTCGAGACGCATGGTGGAGGAGGGGGTGGGTGATGTTGGTGTTGGGAGGGTGGGAGGGGTGCGTCGGGAGGGGACCACCTGGGTACAGGAATTACCATTAATTTTAGAACAATTCATCATAGCCAAAAACAAATGAAATAAGTACTAGTAATTATGTAATAACAAATATATAAGTTTCCTAAAAACAATGTGCACAGGCTGAAGTTTCCTTCAAAAATATTGTGAGTTTTTTCCTCCTGGCGGCCTACGTAATGTGCTATAGCTACCCCAAGTGGACCCGTCTATCATTGGTAAACCCCTGTGCTTCCGTCCCTCGTGTTATAACACAGTGCTGTGCCATTAGTGAAATAGTTTTTTAAATACCTTTTTATTTTCATAGTAACTTTGACCATTTTTGGCCAAGACTGTCTGGTAGCAGCATGAATTGTTCTGGAGGTGTTAAGAGAAAGAAGGTTGTCATAGCATTTAAAGACAAGTTACGTGTTATACACCTCAACCAGTGAGGCGTCACAGACAAGCCAAATGGCTTCAACACAGGCAAGCCAAGCGCCTTCAACAAGTGAGGCGTAAGCAAGCGCCTTCAACAAGTGAGGCTTCACAGGCAAGCCAAGCGCCTTCAACAAGTGAGGTGCAAGCAAGCGCCTTCAACAAGTGAGGCCTCACAGGCAACCCAAATGCCTTCAACCAGTGAGGCTTCAGCAGCTGACAGTCAAAACTAACTTTCCTTAATAAACTGTACAGTAATTTTAAGTGTTAATTTTAGTGTTGTGTTAGTATAGGTTACGTAAATTGTTAAGAATTTTTAACTTCAAGATGTGTGGCATCAATTAAGAAGACGAACACCAACAAGGTAAGTTGAGGTTTCTAGTTAAATATTTAATAATTATATGTGGCAAGGCAATTCAAATTATGTTGTTTGTAGTATAAAAATAGTTGGAAATGGTCACTTTTGGACTTGTAGGTGAAAAAGTACCATTATCCGGAACACGTGATAATCCGGCTGGGGTCCTTCCCATATAGACCGGATGATCGAGTGGAGACAGTACATATAAATCTTAAAACACCAGCGTTGAATGTAATGAAACCCCATTTTCTGGGCGATACCCAGAGGCTTCCCGGAGCTATACAGGCTGATACGGATATATTAGACTTTGGCATCAGTCAATGTGAAAGGAGTTCAGAGGCCTACCGGGGACCACAAGCCAGAACCTGGCTCCCTCAGAGAGGCATGAGGAGCAATGGCCTTTAGAACTGCACATGTGATTTGGAAAATTATATGTCTGCCATTGACTGGGTCAGGCACCCAAAAAGAAAAGCATCTCAAAACAAACCTCTATTCTGGTTAAAACTACTACTGAAAGCTAAAGGAGTGGACAGAACTCTCCAAAAGAAAACGAGCAAACGAGAATGACATCACACGTGCTGTGGCGCTTGTCTGCGTAGCTCCTCCCCTCCCAAGGAGGGGGAAGGGAGAGCCCCAGACCCCTCGTGCCAGCTATCCCCACCTTGGTTCCGAGGCTGGATGTCAAAACACGCGAAAAACACCTCCAACCAGGGGGAGGGAGGGTTGCCGGGGAGCCTCTGGGTCTCACCCAGAAAATGACGTTTCATTATATTCAACACTGGTTTTCTGGGGGAGATCCCCTTCGGCTCCCTGGAGCTACTTCACCAAAGAGAAGAAAAAGAGGGGCACACCCGGGAGGCATATGCCATGCGCAACTCAAATCAAAAGCAAGACAACCAACGGCAACAAAGGACCCAACAAATGATTAGGGAAACCCGAACCCAGGCACAGGGAAGAGGGGAAACTGGGGCAACCCAAAGTGCGACCACAGGCATAGAAGCCGAGGTGTACAAACAACGGCAGAGAGTTGTTGGCACGTTTTGCCTGCATACCACTAGGTCCTGGTTGTGGCTCACTGCTTGATTTTCTCACAACGAAACGATCCATTGAAGATTGTTTTTCCCTTCTTTGCAACACTTGTCTGTAGTGAGGCATTACACTGTCATTTAAAAGCAGTGGCAGGATTTACTGGCACTTAACTGCAGCAGAAAATTACTTGTGTTAATTTCGGGACCATAGGATTAAGGACTTGCCACCCAACACTGCATGGCAATGCAATAACTGGGTGAGTTTTTTCTGCCCCAGCAAGACTGGCACTTAAGTGCATGGAGACTTAATATGCCATAACTCACAGCGAACCTCAACAGTAATCAACCACAATTAACCAATTTTCATTGTGCCTGCCTATCGACGACCCTGCTGCCAAATGTTCACTATACGCCTAACCCCACTACCATTCTCCAAGTATCTACCTCTGGAAACACTACCAAGAATCTATCACCGGAAACATGCCCAAACATAGCAACAAGCAAGTTAGGGGTACCTCTCGCTCTTCATCCATAACTCCACGAGACCTGAATGAAACACTGGCAACCCTGCAGTCCTCCCCGATGTTGGTAAACACAGCATCCGCTCCCCCCTCCTCTCTGCCAGCCCCCGCCTTCAACTCAACTCAATACTCAAGCTTTAGAATTCATTCAATCTATGGTTCCCTGTTCAAACTTCAAACCATTGAGGAGTAACCCATGGCTGCAGAAACTGCACAACCTTGTGCTCTTGCAATCGGACGCAATTTCGGCCCTCCAAGTCACAGTCACCCAACAACAACTAATTATAGACCGCCTCCTTGAATCATCGATGAATAACAACCAAGAAATTCTCAACTTACAAGCTGTTGCAGATGACGCAATGGATCAAATACACAAGATCAAGACCGAGGAAACCCAATCAGCTCAAAGTGACTTCCTTCAAAAGCTGGAAAAACAAATCAGTCTCCTTCAGATTCACCAGGCAGCTTCTGAAGACGACCTAGAGCAGCAACAACTTCATGACTCCCTGATAATTAGCTCTGCTGATCTACCTGATGAACAACAAGGTGAGAATTGTTGTAATGTAGCCCACGCCCTAATTAATTCAAAGATCAAAGTCAACGTTGATATCAAATCAGCTGTCAGGCTAGATAAAAACAGTTCCCGTAGCAGTAGGAGAATGCTCATCAAACTTGCAAATCCCACTGTTAAGTTTGACCTCATACAACCAGCTGCTAAGCAAAAAAACCAACTTCTATATAAACGAGTGCCTTACAAAGCAGAGTGGATCCCTCCTCTTCAGGCTGCGTAAAATTCGCAAACTAAACCCTGGTCTTATCAAGCAGTGCTACACTAGGAATGGAACGATCATTGCAAAGAAGCAAAGTGCAGGAAAAAGATTTGAAATAAAGTGTGACCAACAACTACTGGCCTTCTTTAATGATTGTGGTTTATCTGAAAACCTGAACCCACCCAATGAAAATACTAAAAATAACTCTTGAGTGTCAGAGCCCAACCTAACTTAATCTAACCTTGTCCAAGGCGCTGTCTCTGCCTTACCATTTAACTAATGTTCTCTCATCCATATATGTTCCTAAGTAATCAGTCAAGTCTCCATGCACTTATGTAAGCATCTACCTCAGTATCATTGTAAAATTTTACTCTTAAATCTAATCTTACCCTGTTCTTTTTAAATTTTAAATTTAATTGTATTTTGATTTATGTCATTTATTGAAATTAATTATTGATCTCATTTTGTTTTCTTAAGTTCATACTAATTATAGGTTCAAAACTATGCTAAATAAAATTAATTATCTTTAAGATTATTTTACATTACGATTATCATTTGTCTCATTATTTTTTTGTTATATATTAATTTTGACATTCTCTATTGATTTTTTGCTTTCTCCACCAAATTTCTGTATCCTTCCTGGCTATCTACGGCAATCCTTATTCTACTTCTAATTGTTTCTATTTTTTGTGTACTTGCATTTATTGTTGTGTTTTGCTATAATAATTCTCTAATTACAGCAGATTTAGTATTTATGTAAGCATCTACCTCAGTGTCATAGTAAAACTTTACTCATAAATATAATCTTACTCTTACTCTTATTTGTTAAATTTTAAATTTAATTGTAATTTGATTTATACATCATTTACTGTAATTAATTATTGAGCTCATTTTGTTTTCTTAAGTTCATACTAATAACAGGTTCACAACTAAACCATATAAAATAATTTATCTTTAAGATTATTTTACTTTACGATTATTATTTGTCTTATTATTTTGCTATACTGTATATAAATCTTGTCAGTCTACTGATTTTTTTGTCTTCTCTCTTAACCTAACTTCTGTATCCTTCCTGGCTATCTACGGTGATCTTTACTCTACTTCTAATTGTTTCTATTTTTTGTGTACTTACATTTGTTGTTGTGATTTGCTATAATTACTTTCTATTTACAGCAGATTTAGTATTTAACAATTCCTGTAATTGCTTGTCTTATTGTATCGTGACCCCATTGCATCTACATGCATACTGATATTGATCCTGATCGAATTCTTCTGTCTCATATCTACACCAATCAGCACATTGATCATCATTATTGCAGGTCTTGCAATAAGGTCACAGCAAATCTTGCAAAAAACAAACTCCTAAATGGCACCTGCTTATCAGTTTACAACCAAAATGTTAGGTCACTTGGTAAACATTTTGATGATATAAATGCACTACTCACAGCACTAGGTACTAATTTATCATTCATTATTTTAACAGAAACCTGGTTAAGTAAAGACTATACCCAACTCTACAACTTAGCTGGTTATAAA